GGTGGGCATCGACATGTTGTTCTACGAGGTTGCTTACCCGGTTACCGTAGTTATATACGGCGCGTATGAGATTAAGAACCCGGACGTTAAGAAGCTCAAACCAATGCGCCATCCTGGTAACTGCGTGGGTAAGTTAGTTAGAGAGTTCTTCGAGGATTCCTCTAGGGGAGGTAAGCTTACGTTGAAGAGAAGAGAAGCCATCAGGAAATGGGAGCACGCTACTCGTAGGGCAGGAGCCACCATTGAGAACATCAAGAAGTTAGAGGTTGCTTTAGAAAGGCGCATACACGTGAAAGACATCACCGACGGCTTCATCTACTCCGGGACGCACAAGTATGGGGGCCGGGGTGCGCCTATCGTAATTTACCAGCATAACGCACATGCGTGGAGGGAGTTAAGGTTCCCAAAGAAGAAGGAGACGCGCGTTTACAAGGAGTCGCCGCTTGCAGAACTAATGCACGAGAATTCTATTTGGTTAATGGATGCGGAGGGAAGTCAATTTATGACCCAAGATGGTACTTTGTATCGTCCTGAAGTGGAGCAGCTGCGCATTCAAAGCGCCTGCGAGACTTTAGGAGAAGACTTCTCTGACGAAGTGCTTAGCAGTCGCAGTTTGGACTTCTTAGCCGCAAAGAAAAGAAACGGGTGGAAATCCACACCGGAGGAGTTCAAAGACATAGCTAAAGCTTGCGTAGAGCACGGTCATGGTGGCCTGTGGAACATGGAATACGACGAAGACGAATACGTGTCGCTGGATATGAAACATTGTTACCCCGCAAGCTTCAAAGGCCTAGGAGATTGTAAGGAATATTACGACCGTTACGGACATCCAGACTCCCAATTCTTTAGGGTGTCACTGCCAGGTTATTACGACGCCCCAGCAACGGGGTTTGTACGGTTGACCACCTGGAAATTTACGAAAGACTTACATCCAATAATCTATGCGTGGTACGGAAAGCACCTGCAGGAGAAAGAATGGATACCCATACCCCTATTGAAGTTCTTTGAAGAGCGCAAACTTTTAAAATACACAGCGCATGAAGCCATACTTTGTCACAGCGCCTTCACGCAATGGTTACCGGAGTATAACCCCACAGCGCGCGTGGTCATAGGAAAGTTCACGCAGGGCGCTAAGGAAGGAGAGAAACATATGCAGCGGCGCCTGATTACGGACGCCGGCGAGTTAAGCTTCCTCATCAAGCGCGCGCATGACAAAGGAACGATGGTATCCGTGGAAAAGTGGGACTATTTCATAGAAGCCGAGCAAAAAGAACACGAATGGAATGCGCTGTGTTACTACCAGGACCATCGACCGCAGTATTACCATCTGCGTGCCAGCATGTTAGCCTACGCGCACATCAATCTTCTGGCGATGCTCCTGCGGTTTGACAAAGAAGACATCCCGCGAGTAGCTACGGATTCCCTATACGTGAAACCGCAAGTCTTAGAAAAGATGAAAGAATTCTATACAGAAGACGAACTCGCGGAAAGTGGCCAATGGCGCGTCAAAGATGAAGAGATTAAAGCTTGGAGGGAACGCGTAAAATATCACGGCGAGCACACCCAGGGCACCGTGACGCCTACCAAAGAGCCTCTACCTTCAGTTGCCGACCCCATTTCCTACCAACGATTCTCTTACCTCTACGGTACGGGAGGCAGCGGTAAGACGACGCGTGTGTTGGAACTCTTTCCTAAGATAAAGGTGCTAACGCCAACGCATCGGCTGGAACGAGAACTCTGCGAAATGGGCCACGACGCGCAGACCTACCACAGCTTCTTTCGTTGGAATGGCCAAAAGTGGGTACCTGAAGCCATCCATGACATACCTCCGGTGATACTTTGGGATGAGATTTGCACCGTGCCTTTAGAAATCCTCAAAGAATTCGTAGAATTCCTCCGTGGAAAGTGTCAAGTAATATTCGCCGGAGATCCTTGCCAGCCTCCTCCAATAGCCGGAGAGATGCCCCACGAATGGCTGAAAGATTTCGTAGACCATGCGGAGGAAATCAACACAGATTACCGCAGTAAGGATCAAGTAAGAAACCTGAAAGCGGAATTAAGGGGGCTCAGTGACGCCGAGCAATGCAAGACACTGCGCAAACGCGTACGAGCGAAAAAGTACGAGGACTTTCTATACGCCTGGCACCCTAAGGATCTGGTGCTAAGTAGTAAGCGCGCAGCACAATCTCGCATACAAAAGGATTTGCTAAATATACACCGAGAGCGCTT